TGTCTACAAAACCGGTACTCGACGAGTTTATAAATTGTTTCCGAATAAAAAACGCATTAAATGCTTGAACTGGAGAGCTTATTTTTAGTAAAGGGTAATAGAAAAAAATAAGAGTAAAACGTGAAATTTGTGTAGCATTAATTCGTTAATCTCGTAATTTAAGTGAAGCGCTCAGTCGTTGGAGCGCGGCGCGGCGGCGCGGCGGCAGCGAACAATTCGCGTGAGCTCCTTATCTGCAGATATTTAAATTCCTGCCTGAGCCTCAAAATAGTTCAAATTAAATGGAGCTTGTAAATTAAGTGTTGCTATCACGCAATCCTGGGGAAATAGCTCTAAGTGGTTTCAGTACGATCTAATATTTTATCTGGCTCGACTTAATGGCTAAGTTAAATAATCTAGACAACATTCCCGCGATATGTAAACAGATGAAGTTACTGAAACTTGGGTTTCAGATTAATTTGTCGATTGCTTGATTAAATACCTACCTACACTAATTTAAGTGATCCCAAACCAGACGGATTTATTAACTTAGTATAAACTGAATATTGAATTAATGAAGACTAGAATCATAGTTATGTTACATCCATTTACATTTACACAAGCCAAGTATTTGTTGAACCTGTATGATACTAAGTATGACATGTTTATATTGGAATATTCTTCATTTCAAAATTATTTACTTCAATATTTTCCTTTGAATATGTGTGTAGTTCTGTATAGCTGAATGATTCATTGTTAGAAATGTTTGAAAAATTTAAAACATATGTGTTCCTTTTCTTAAAAAAATACTAACTGAAAACATATACTTACTTTCACATACATCACGAGATGTCTAATAGAGTTAGATACAGTATTCCTCGTGGTATAGCCATAACTCTTCCAAACGTAATGTATAATTTTGTCTGCGATTATATTGCCGAAAAACAAAAATAGGTATGATGAGAACCGACAGACTGTAGCGGGACGTGGGCGGGACGGGGGCGATGCGGCGGCGGCCCGCGATCACTCTCAGGGGCAAACAGCGACGATTGAATGTGAAAATTTAATTCAGGTCATTTTCATCGCAGGAGTAAAGGAATCTATTATTTTTCCCCAAAGAAGACTATTACTCAGCTAACATTTTTTAAATATGAATTTCATAGCGGCGGGATTTCCCTTTATTTATGCAGTTCACGTCAGCTCCAGTGCGCCCGGGTTTCTTCAAGGCTACTTCTATTTGTTAATGTTATTACAAGTGCTTGGTGTAATGCGAAAACTTTTATATTTGTCCAAGTTTATCCGGAAATGTTCGGTAAGATTTCGTAAAAAGCAACGCGTGCATGTAGTATAGAAACCAGTCTGGCGAAAATGCGCAGCCATCAGGCTGGCACGACTTTGAAAAATGCTAATTTCAAGTACGGCTTGGTGTTGAATCTTCTACCGGCAGCATTTAAATGCAACCTAACTTGTCAAACTTCGGCGGCTTACAAATGAACGCTGCTTGGAGGTCTCAGCTTGAATAATTCTAGACCTCGCGAATAAAATATCTCTTTCATTCCTTTAGTTATCAGATCGACCGTAATTTTAAATGATTGGCAGAATATTGAAAGAGAAAATAAGTAGACTTTTCTTTGGTTATTTAGTGCTTTTAATCTCAAAAGTACATAAACACCTATCTGCATAAAGTAAAGAAAATATAGAAGTACCTACATTTTATTATTCACATTTACAGAGTGAATGCCTACGCGGAGACGTTTAATAACTCAGCCGTCGACGCCTACATGGTATCTCTCTTCGATTAAATTAGTCGATTAAATTTTCATATTCAATCTTGAGTTGTTTACTAAAGGGAAGCTTCGCATCTCTGAACCAGATATTATGCTATTTGAATCTCAACTTTATATCGGTACAAATATAGTTGATATTAGATTGTAGATGTCCAATGTTTAAATATTTATGCGAACCATGATATCTATAAGAAAAAAACATTCGAACTTGCCAAATATTTACTGCGTTCTGAGGTAAAATATGTCATTAAGTAAAAATTGTCTCCTGTACTTGATTTGAGATCAATTTGAAAAAGCATTGTTCAATTACAGTTCATTTTTTTATTATGTTATGAACAACCGTACTGAAGTTACGCTCGGTGTATCGGTGTTCTGTGATTTGTAACAGCTGAAAAGTTGGTGTTTATATTTAAATTGGTAGCCGCTTCATGAAATTTCACGCGTGTTGTTATGTTTTTCCTACATTGCTGAAATTTTGTACATCATTTTTGAGTCAAGCCCGTTTAGTAGGACAAGGTTAGATTTTGTAACTGTTACATATTTTTACGCAGCCATTCAAGTTCGGGTAGGTGCTTAAAACTATGAATATTATTTAGTATTACCCGAAACATTTATTTGAATATTCATAGGGTAAAATAATTTATTTTAGGAGTGATGCTAATAAAGACTCACTTTGTTTTGAATATTTAGATATTTAAGGTTAGTATTATATCGCTGGGCTTAACCTTGGACCGGCTTCGGAAGCGGTTCAATTTTGTTAGTATTTAATATACGGTAGAAAGAAAATATATAATGTATGCCATTGTAAATAAATGGTAGTATTATAATTTACCCTATGTTATAATAGAAACATTCATATTCTGGCATTTTATTACCACTCTTTAGAAATATAATCTACTATTCTTGATTGAATGTAGAATTGTAGATAACAGATTTTATAGAAGCTCCTTTGAATAGCCCTGTCATTTAGATTGAACATGATTACATATTATGATACCACTGCTTCAACGATAATCACTATTCAAACTTGTATCAGCTATTATGTAAGCGATTCCGTTCGTACACTGCCACCGTTGAGCCTAGGTTCCACGGGCTCACAATTTTCTCACTCGCTTCGGAAATTTAGCTGATTCAGAAATTCGTGTTCGAATACGAAGCCAACTGACTCTAGGCTTAATACCGGTAAACCCGAACCTCGGTACCTGGTCGTTGTCCCTAGACAGACACTTTAATATATCATAACCGTAAACCGTAACAAATTATACCGATATAAACACCGCGGAATAGGAAACGTTACCCGGAAAATATTCATGTTTGGCGCATCCACTAAACCGCGTTTATTTCCTACATAATTTCATTTCGCCTAAAGTGACTCAGAGATTGTAATGCTAATTGAGTTTGTAGAATCGTTGAGTAAACTAAAACAAGGTGTTTAGTTTCATACAGCCGTTGGCTACACCGTGCCGACTTAACTTTCATTAAATGTTACATCCAAACCCTTTAACATTATTTCAGATGGGAATTGTTGTATTTAGTTTTTGTGTGCATACGAGGTAAATAAAGGACTTTATGTAAGCCTCTCAATGGGGCTGACTTACTGAATTACGTTTAAACTTTTCCTACCTCCGTTATGGCAGTTCTCAATTCATCGTCGACTTTCAAAAAATATTAAAATGCTTTCCCTAAAGTTACAAATGACCGCGTCTCTCTGCTTATTTTCAATTTATTCACGTTTCGTTACGGAGAGCTGTGTTAACGTTGCCAACAAATTTTCAAAGTATTGCGAAACTTACCAATCTGAACGAGTATTTTTAATTCATTTTCTTTCGCTCAGCAACTTTCTTTTATACTCATTCGTAACAACATAGGCACGGTGTAGTTACAAGTTTACTTAGAAATTTTCTTTGAAGGCGCTTATTTATTATATTTTCGCGGTTTTGTTCATCGTTTTCGGAACTTCATTGTGAAGTTCCGAATTTTGCTCGAATTGTGTTTTCTGGGAACATTTACGAAGTCTCTTCTTCGACTTAGAGTTTGAACACATGAATTGGGGCGGCATTGGCTACGGGGTGTACAGTCATAGTTTGGTTTCCTGGTGGTACAGCATTTATTTTTCATATCTGAAACAAAAACATGAATCTCACTCTGCACCGCTGTGCGTTTCAGTCGAAATAACACGAAAACAAGTTTGCAAATAACATAACGTATCTATAGTATTAGTTCCGCGTCCTGCAGAAATGTGCTGTTTTTCCATGCACCCATGTTTTTGCGACGTGGAGAGGGATTATTTGAGCAGACCGGTGCCGAGCCTGACAGCCACATTACAATCAGAACAGAACATCTATTTCAAGTGAAAATAATAATTAGATACATACTAATGCACTAATGCAAAGTTATTTTATATAAAATCATATAGGTAGGTATTAGGTAATTATCCTAAGTTCCATAAGACTACAAAGAAATTTATGGTAAAGTTTTGATATTTTAGGCGGTAATAACATGGGTACAAACATTATACTTCTAATAAACTTTGGAATTACTACACAGGTACATAAATAACCAGCGCTCATCCATGTAGAAGTTAACTAACATTAAGTACGCCTTCTGCACATTTACTCATAGTGTACGATTGTTTGGCGAAGTAGTAGAGCGGGTTCGATTCGCCGCGGGCCGACTTGCGCCGTACAACCTCAGGCAACGTATACATTTTGTTTGTTATTGTTTAGAATTACCTACCCAAACAAACCGCCTCATAAATTCCAAACTTTCCGCCCTTAACTTTTATACTGACCTATTTGTATAAAGTGTTGAAAATTATTACTTAGTCATAACATAACTGGAACGCCGAGAGTTGGCCAACTTTTACAAGTAAAAAATGTGGTGTTAATCTTGTTTGTAGTTACGATTTGAATATTAATATTGCTCTTTTATTGTGAATATTATTTATAAATGCATCAAGAGAACTGATTCAATTGATAATACTTTAAATGTAGTGGATCAGCAGTAGATATGAGTTAAAAGTATATTGGAAAAGTAAGATTTGGACACTATAAACAAATTGATAACAATGTTCTTACTTTCATGTTTAGACATAATTAAATATGATATAAAAACATTGCACGTGCGAATAAATTATTACAATGTGCTTTAATTTTATGCTACACAATTTTGAACATGAGGTTTCGTCATCATTATACTTTCTACTTACTAATGAAACTTGAACATTTGTTGCAGATGAACAGCGTCGAATCTATGGTTCAGAAGGAGGTGAGGAACTACCTCGGTATGCCAGCAGTCCACAACGGCAGTCTTCTCCATTCCCTCATGAGAGTACCAACAGGCGGTTCTACAGAAGAAACAGGAACTCTAAAGGTAAGTAGTTAAGTCGCAACATTTTGAATGTTAGTTTATTGTTTAAAATGACTCACTGCTCGACTGCCTCATTGGCCGAGTGGTCGCAAGTGTGATTGCCGGGCAAGGGGTCTCTGGTTCGATTCACGGGTCGGGCAAAGTATTACTGGGTTTTTAAAAAAATCTCAGTAGTAGCACGGAGTCTGGAACTGTGCCCGGTATATGGCAATAGGCTCACCCCCTATTACATGGGACTCATAACATAAATAATGAAAAGTGGGTGTTACATTGTATAGTGGCATAATGTACAAATCTGCCCACCCTTTCGGGGATAAAAGGCGTGATGTTATGTTATGTTATATTATGTTTAAAATGAATGTAATGGGACCTAAGAAAACCTTGTCACAAGTGATAATTTTTTTTGCAGAACATTGTTTAGAGAAGTAACATATAAAATAAGAATTGCAGCGCTGATAGCTTACCATCAGGTGATACGTCTGCTCATTTGCTGAAGTATTCCATAAGAGTATTCATAGTTTTTTTAATACAGATTTTCCTGTCGAAAAACTACAGAAAGATATTTTTACGGGAATATGCAGTAACTATGTACCTTCGATCTATATATGTATGAGTTCTCCTATGTACTGTTTGTGGGTTGTGCATAAAAATATAAGTGAATAGTATTAAGTTTGTTATATAGGACCCGGCCATGGTTTTGTATGCGTTCATTAAAGTTTTAAGAAATTGATTATGCTCATTATTATCTATTAGGTGAGGAGATATTCAGTGCTGAGCCTAGTGGTACTCTGCAGCGTCGACGACGTGCTGACGACTTTCCTCACGAAAACAACGCGCGCAACGCACGCCTTTGCCTGAATAATGGTAATATGTATTACTAATAATATTTATTCATTTTTCTAGTGATCCTAACATTTTAAAAGGTTACACAAATAATGTCATGTAACCGAATTTACCAAAAATCTAACGTACTGAAAATCTCAGTCTGCTTTGAGATGCGGGAGATAACGAGTGCCTACACCACAAACATGTTGCCAAGGCCGGGTAGCATTGCAGACGCTACGCCAATGTCGTAGCGCGTAGCGTGCTCGTAGCAATATTACGTAGTCTGCACCAAAGCCTACCAACACGCGCTTACTTTCAACAGCGTGTATTGGATCAAAGCCAGAACCAATAACTTTAACAATAAATACCACTTAACAAAACACATTTTATTCATCTAACGTCGTAAGTTTTAACAAGAAAGTGTTCTAAAGCAAAGCAAATTGGCTGGCTACCAACCTACCTGTGGTATTTGCTCAAGAACCCAAATAGATTACCCCAATTACAGTTGTTGTACTCTTAGCAATCGAAGAGTTCCTCCGCCTAACTCCCGGTCCATTATCAGTTGCTAATCGAAATCTAGAAGTGGAAATAGAGTACGGCTTCGTGTTTATTTAGAGTGGGAACTCTATAACGAACTAAAATTAGTTGAGGGATTTAAAAGATCCAATTGTTTTCCTTGTATTTTAATCAGTATTTTTATGCGTCAATAATAGTAATACCTTATTGTTCTGGGAATGTGTCGATAGGTAATACTACAATTTTCCGTCAATAAAGTTGTCATTTTCCGCTAAGTGTTGATAATTTAAAATTCGAATAACCGATTAATATAACAGTACAACACTTCGATTATCGTTCAAAGTAAGGAATTGTACATCGATATAAATATTACCTACTATACCTACTACTCAGAATTCATACTGGTACTTACTTATATCGCTCAGAAAAAAAGACGTTTGACGACGGAACGTTTCAATAAACACATTTCATTGAAAGATCAAAATCTTTCACTTCTTAAATGATCCCTTCACAAGTGCTTCAATAACTGCACCCTGATTAATTAACAGATTATATCGTGCATACCTTCACCCAAGGAATGTAATGACGTTTGTAAGCATTAACAATAATAATAGCGTCGCGAAATGTAAGGCATGCTATACATGTTGTGTTGGATTCCAGTTTAGTTATTGTATACACAGCGACACATCGACCTATACAAAACTAGTATATCATGGTCTCGTTTTGTGTGATCATTTCGTTCTTTCGACGATCAGTTTATACTGGTTTAGCATAGTTTGATGTGCAGCCATGTGTACTTAGGTATTCTGTAGCACCTATTATGAAGGTATTATGGAGGTCGGTGCATGCCTTTGATAAGGATGCCTAGCATAGTTGCTCCAACTCCAACGCATGTGACTGGCACGTGAGAGCACAATGAGCGAAGTGAATTGTATTCATGTTTTGCGAGACAAACATTGTGAATATTGTGATGCCATAATCTTATTAAGTGTTCGTTTATGATTGATTTATCGTATTGAAGTATGTTTAGAATGAAGCAAAGGATGTTGATTTTTGTTACAATAGTTTGTTTATCCAAAACAAAAGTAAGCAATTAGACAATTGTAGTATTCCCGCTCATAATGAACGAAATTTTCGGCGATTAGGAAGTAAAATGTCAATTAAGGTGGACGACTGCATAGACGACATTCTTTTTTATATTCTATATGTGTACAAAATTTATTTTAATACGAGTAGAGGTACCATTATTCTCATTTTAATTTAATTCAATTGTGACGTGAATTTGCAACTAAAAACCTTTGTTTTGGACCAGCGTCGTCAGGCAATGGAGGTCAAACAAGCGAAAGGGAGTGCGAATCTCCTCCAGAGCCGGCTCCTCCCGAAGTACCTCCTAGAGGGCCAAGCCTTCATGTCACCCTGCGCCATCGTCCTTGCGAGCAACCAGCGGAGCCTGATCGACTGTACCTGTCTGAAGGTAAGTTTAGAATGTTAAGTTACAGTGAAATGATAATTTTAGTCAATTTTATAGACTATATATGATGTATTGTGTGCCGACTTCATTTGTAATATCCTTCGTTTTATGAAGGTTTTTCCTTATCTTCATACATTACTCATAGACTTTTTCCATTATATTCAAATACTATTAGCCAATTTCGAATTACTTCTATAACCAACTGTGTGGGCTCAGATTTGTTGGAATGTACCATTTCTTTTTATAATAATGCGTGACATTCTAGACGAGTCTATGAATAAAAGAATAAACAAAGTATCTGTACCTACGTATTTAAGTAACATCGCAGTGAACGGAGAGATGAAATTGAAAACGCATTTATTTCTGAACAGGTGACGAGCACAACACATGTCGCAACTGAAACAAAAAAAAAACAAATTTATTAAACGCATTTCATTTTGTAGACTTTTCGTTTACAATGGAGATGGACTGACAATCAAACACATAGTTTTAATTCTTCATGGTATACATGGTAGGTATACATACAAAATAGGAAATTTACCTTGGCTATATATCAGGAATTATCAAAAAAATAAACTCTCATAAGATTGACCGACCCGGGAATACAACCCGTAACGTCGTAACTGCGACTTGCAAGTACTTTGCCTATCCATAATTAGTACATTATTTCAAAACAGCGTTACTTTTATAATTTTATGAAAGGGATATATTTGACTGCCACATACCTTAGACAGTATCTACTGAATAGTGCCTACGTGTTACGTATAAGCACCTCGGTCTAACCCTCCGGGAATCAAATAATGTTTAACCGCGCTTATACTACACTTTGTAAAATTGTCTTTCAAAAAGTGTCAGAGCTTAGTGGATGGTGAAATTTGATTTGAATTTTCTTTTGTCTTCTATATTTAAAACAAAGACCATGACAAATAGCAAAAGTTGTGATAGTGACTGATGTTTCAACACATTTCTTTTAAATAAGCCAAAGGTGAAATAAGGGCAGACGGGCATTAGAATATGAAGTGACTACGCTTATATCATTTCAATATCAATTTTAAATGAATCTATATAACCTACCAGTATTTAAATTAATAGTATTTTCGTTAGGTATCTAAATTTTCATTTAATTTCGATAACTTTACTGCTCTTCAAAAGATTATTTCGAGTACTATTTGGCGTTTCTTAAAAATACAAAACTGTTTCTTAATCTAAATTTAAGGCTTAATTTTGATGTCTTCATTAAAGCAACATTATGAACTTGTCAAAAAGGCAATAAATTTTAATATGTCAAACAAACTATGCAGTAATATAAGTACCTACGTACCTATGTAACTTGATCTACAACCATAGATAGGTATGCACTTCGTAGGAAAACAAACTTGGTGTACAAACTTTCCTTTAATCTAAGTTTCAAGATAAGGGTTCTATAAAATGTGGTAAAATTTAATAGTGGAGCATTTTGAGTTAGTAAGAAGTTTCCTGATATTTAAAAACAAGACTTTCCTGTTCGTAGTAAACGTTAGTTTTATTCATGTTTGACGAAATTCATTTCTGGCGCATTTACACATATTTTGGCAATTTGACTTCTAAACACATAGTGCGAAGTTACAATACTGTAGAACATTCACAGTATACACATCGGTACGGAGTCTGCGGAGTTGGCTAATTAAGTTTCCGCCGTAAATGTAGAAGCGCGTTAAGTAGGCCTTGTTCTTGTGTTGGTACTTCGGCTGAAGTTTAATCGAATCGCATCGGCCGCACTAGACCGCGCCGGTGCCACCAAGTTGCCTTTCTGACAAATTAGCCACTTGATCTATGCCCCAGGCGCCCGCGCCCCCGGTTTGTATACGTAAACAACTTGGACTTTAATTTCTTTTACTTCTCACTTCGACGAGCTTAGGGTTCTACAGGAGAATGAAAACGGATTTATGAATAACATTTCATTTTGTACTCAATTTTTGCACTTTGACAAATCCTAAAACTTTTTCCTAGAAACTTTTATAACCACGCTTATTTATTTGAATCTACTCGCAACATTAAAAATACTCAAATTCTTAGAAATTCTTAATTCTGTTAACTCAAAATAGAAGCCACTTCGAAGCAAAGTAAATGGCTCAAAAATGTTGGGAAAAGACTAATTGTTTACCCAAACAAAGTCTTTAGATAGTACAGAACCCCCGGCGCGGTAAACTTCCTCTTCTCATCTTTCCCCTTGTTTATACTTTTCGTTTTCATTAGCTTCGATGCTTTTGCAACATTGTAATGAATTTTTGGCTTACTGAGACCAGCTTTTCATTGTCCTTTAACATTTTATAGAGTCAGGTTTGTACGTAACCAACCATGGGTCAAATACTTAGTGTCAGTGCCGTGACGAAAGAAGAAAGAAAGAAAGCTGGTAAATTTGATTTGTGAGAGAGCCGGGCGCAGGATGAGGCGCTTTGATGTGGCGGGCTCCTTCGCCCGCGCCTAACCCGCCTTCTGAAATGGCGCGCACTTACACAGAAACTCTTACCGTAATTTAATTTTTATGATAGCGCATTGTAAGCGCCCCGGAGACTTTCATTTGGATGTCGTACTCTCACTTAAGTTAGGACACTATCACCCATGGATTACTCCTCAAGTGATGACTCCTTCAACTCTAATAACGACACCTTCTGTGAGTGACATATTTACAAACGTTAAGCCAACGTCGAAGTCGTTCAAGTAGGTAGACACCGAAATGAATTAGGCAAATCTTGATTCAAACAAGAAAATAGCTTCAAAAGGTCTCGAAAGTTTAATGGAATCGAACAGGCCGGGGCCGAAGTAGTCGGAAGTTTGCGCGGGTGACAAATTGGGCACTTGACCCGCGCGCCGGCCGAGCCTCCCACTGCTTGTTTCTCGAGGACCGTAATAAGTTTAACTTAAAGTAAACTATATTCCATTCCCTCTAATTTGCTGTTGCGCTACGCTCCTGCGATACTTTTTACAGTCTCAAATTAACATTTCTATTTACGTCGCTAAAAGTAATTCCAGGTGCTCTATAATTCAACGTTGTCGCTCTGATTTTACTCGACGTTCTTATTAGTTAGGATCACTAATTCATTTGATTTAACTGTGGTATGAGACGAAAAAGTAATAAGGAAAAGGAGTATTTGTGGATGCAATATTATTTCGTAAGAGGAGCCGGAATCTCGAGTTCGGATTCTTGCTTGGAAATTGAAACCTCCTTGGAGATTCGCTGTAATTTAATTTTTACGATGCCGTATTGTTAGAGCTTCACAGAAGCGGTGTTTGCAGTTAAAACACAAAACAGTCGACTTTGACTATTATTATAATGTTCTCAGTTGAATTATACGAGTTTCCACCTGTACTGAGTACCGAGAGCCGAATACATGTTTGTTTTGTTAATGCGATACGTTGTTATTGAAGCTAATTGGAATCAATATGTTATTATTAGACAATGACATAGAGACTTGTGTACGAAAATTGTTGATTATTTACGAAATTTGATATTGTGTTTTGTCAAGATATGTACCTATTCTATCTGTTAATTGGCTTATTGTATTTATAACACAATAAATCTATTATTTAGTTCTTACTAATAAAGTAATACTATCCGACATGTTTACTTCGATATTGGCGTCGATTGTTGTCTAATTATTGGTTTCATTCTCCTAATAGAAATAAGCAAGTAAACAGTATCATGATAATACAATACATGAGTCTAGGCTTTATTGTTTACGTAATAAGGCCTTTGTGCTATCATTATATACCGCTGCCGCTTTCTGCATGTTGCCGTGTTTATTTCTTCCTCTTGATGGTGATATAAAAACGTTATTACTACGTATAACATTGCGGTAAAATTGATATAACTCTAAATGCCCTTTGTTGACATTATTTTGTCTCATCTCTTTGTGTTTTTGTTATAAATTTGCTGTAAAATATGAATAAAATAGGTAGTATAATTTTAATATACATAAGTAACCAAAGTTACTGAGAGTCTCATCGTGTTTTATTAATATAAAAAGTAATAATTATAAGTAATCATTGTCCACCTCTGAATTGAATAAGAGAACTAAATCAGTAGACTTGAAAAGTAGACGATAACAACGGTTAAATGGAATATAGAATTTGAATAACGGAAAGATTTTCTTCAAACTTTCATTGGTTCGTGCTCGGAGAGAAAAGAAAGCGTTTCAGTAGATTTATCTGAGAGATTTAAATAAACAACGCAAGTAAAATCTGCAGCAGTAAGCATATTCATAAACTTTTAACCGCTCATAAAAATGTCGTCGTTCGAGATCAAATCCGACATTGTCGTGTCGTGAGTGCGAGTGGAATGTTCTCGATTCCCTGCTCGCGAGAGTTTTAAACATCCCAGTCCGGAAGGCACTTGAGTGCTCATAAAACACTCATACCAGTATCCGTATAGATTCGTGTCTACTTGTATTATTTGCCTCACTCCGAGTGACTTGATACCAGATTTATTGGATCGTCAATAATATTTGCGCGGTTAACCTTAGCCAGATAAAAAGTTATAGCCCTTTTTGTTTTGATGTTTTAAAGTGATAACCATAGAATTTATTTTTAAGGAAAACATACCTGTCCGTATGAGAAAACACCAACCCACTCCATTTATTTATATACACTCCATATATTAATAATATTTTTCCTTGTTTCGCAAATCCTTCTGTTACGATACCTTAGTTTAAATAAAACCAGCCAACAATATCTTCGACGTATCCCTAGACCTAATAGAATGTCAAAGATTGATTGGCATTTTCTATAGAAAAGCGGATAAGGAAAAAGGCGCGTCGGGGCATGTCGTGGTATGTTGTCATAAAAACGAAACTCATGATGTAGCCACAAGATGTAGGTTCTTACAGTAGAAGATCACATGAAGTAGTCCACCAGTTATAAATAGTTGAGAGACATTATTCAAGTAACAAGCGAGTGTGCGATACGTCACACTAAGTTGGAACACTTTAAAGTTTTTCCGCGTAGCTCGGTGCAGATCCGTCCGC